CTTCATCTTTCTCTGTATTGGGTCTTAAACAGTGTTTTGGGTACAAGCTATTGAGTACCCCAGTGCCAAATACCATCAAAGTTTTTGGGACTTGGAGGAGATTTTCATGCCATGGATTCCACAGTAGTAGGAGGAGGAAGTTTGTCAGATTTGACTGATTCCTGAAGAAAATAACTTTCTATACTAATACTTTCCAGAGAGCTGCTAAGTTGTCTTCTTTTAGGAAGGTTTTTGCATGCTTACATTTCCAAACTCAAATGAGATCTTCTGTTAATATTATATGGAAACAGAGAAGACCCAAATAGCTCAACGGCAGTCTTATAAACCAAAACTGGGAGGACTTGACTGTTGATTTTCTTAATTTTAATAGGGATTATGAAACCAGATACTTCTGTTTCAAGTTGAAACCAAAGAAGTTCAAGCTAGAAATAGGATATATATTTTTAATTATTCCATTAATCACTTCAGTAATATACTGTTTCAATGGCTTTGCTAGCATTGGAAATAAATTAAATCCAGTTCCAAGGCTTCTCTGGAGATTCTTTAGTTCAAAAATACTTATTAAATTTGAAGCAGGAGTTAATATAGGAAAATGCCAAGGACTGTATCTGTGTTGGGTGGTCAGACTATCTTGGCATTTAAAATAAAGAAATGTGTTCTTTAATAATGTTTTCATTATTAAGTTTATTATTTTTATTATGAGATAACTTAATCTTATTTGTTTCCTCTGCAGTTTTTAGAATCATCAGCAAACATGTTTGCTGCAGCACAGCAGTTGTCTCAAAATATTAATCCGGGTGAGTTGTTTGTTTTTTTTTTTTTTGTTACTATGCTTGTTGCTGTGGCAGCAGAATGCTCACCACAGTCCCAAAGGAGGATCCTGCCAGGAAGGCTCCTAGCACTGAAACTTAACTTGCATTAGGGCTTTGGGTTTTGCTTTGTCAAAAGGAATGTTTGATTGAAATGTAGCTCAAAACCCAAGAGACACCTACTTCATATTTGTTTGTGACTTTTTAAAAAGGCACACCTTACCTCTCTCCCTTTACTTTACGTCTCCAGACTGTGTTTAAGTCTTAGACACTGCCAGCTTAGAGCACTGTCCAGCTTCCTAGTGACCTTGACTTTCCAGACACTTCTGCTCTTGCTTGAGAACTTGAGTTCTCAAAGTACCCAGAAGCACACCCGAGGGGGGAGTTTGCCTCCTACCCGTCCTTCACTGTGCTGCAAGCTTATGTCATGAGCTAACTGAATTTCCTAGAAAAGCTGGAAGACTGCTTGCCTCATGTCTGACCCATAGTTAATCGAAGAGACTGCTTTGTGATAGTTCAAAGCCTGTCACAGAGGCACATGTATTTTTTATAAGTTCTTACAACTACTCCAAGAAATGGACAGTCGGGGATTTAAAATCCACTGCTTTGCCACAGGCTGGCCAGGCTGTATGAATATTCAAAGAGGGAGCAGCATCCAGTCCTGTTGACTTAGGCTGGGATGCAGCAGCAGTCAGCTTGCTAAAACTGGGCAGCTGGCAAGAGAAAAGGCAGAAGGATCATCACTCCTTTCTGTAAAAAGACAAAGCCCTGTCACATTTGGGGTCTGTCTGCAGAAGTGTGCATCCCTCCGTAACCCTTGGGGCTTGCATTCCTGACCGTAATTACTGTGATTTCCCATGTAATTAAATGATGATAGATACATAAGTTAGAATGTTCCTTTAGAGGGATATATCTCTGACTCTGGGGGCAACTTGGCTTAAATAACGTGTCTCCAGAAGATGGTTGGTGCTGAGGAACCCAGCATCAGTGCTGTGTACGTTTCAGGAGGTTTACTTCAGACCAGCTCCTTTGGTCCCAGGGGCTCAATGCCCTGCAGTGGTTGGACTGCCTTGGCTGTGCCTTTGAGGCAAATCTTCTCATTTAGTTTCATCCAAAAATCACCCACTTTGGGCAGTCCAAGATTGTTCTCTGATGTAAGCCACGCCTGTTAAAGTGGGGACAACAGGACAACGTTTCAAAAGCCCAGCCTTAGTCTAGGGTGAAATGCTAAGACGGATGAACCTGTAGGTACCTGCTTTGGGTTTGGGCTCTATTTCACAGCAGCAGCAGGAGCTCTACTGAGCTAGTAGTGGCTGGACTCTTATGGTACAGCCAGTATTCAACCCCTGCACACTTACCTGGCATGAAAGACAAGACCATGACTGAGTCTGTTGGGTATTTTCCATGCATTTCGTCCTTGATTATATTACTGATGGGTGGTGGGTTCCCCTCCTTTTGGTATTCTCTGGTGTCAGCCAGTACGTTCTTTCTTGATCCACTGTTAACTGCAGCTAAGCAATTTGTTTAAGTCACTGAATTCTATTTGATAAAGACTTGATTTCCGTAGGAATACTCCTTTTTCAATTATACCCACAGGGCAAACAAAAGAATAGGGGGGTTTTTGCCTTTTGAACAAGTTAAACTAACTTAGTTGAATTTGAAATGTCCTTTGTGCTCAGAAACGGCGCAGCTGCTTTTGATTGTATCAGATGGAAGAGGCCTTTTCTTGGAAGGCAAGGAACGAGTGACAGCAGCAGTTCAAGCAGCTCGGAATGCCAATATCTTTGTTATTTTCGTAGTGTTGGACAATCCTAATTCCAGGGTAAGTAAGGGAGCAAGGGAGAAGTATTCAACTACAGTGAATGAGAATCTGATAGAAATCTTCTTCCTGTCTTTTGTAGTGCCATACAGCTACCTTATCTTTTGTAGAGGTCAAAGATATTTAGCCCAATTTCAGGTTTTCATGTCTATCAGATCTGTGATTTCTTCCTACTGTGCTTCTTATCCTCTTTTGTACTTTAAAAAACCTCAGCTTCCATGCCACAGAAAGGCTAAGTAAGAGCTCCCATCTTCAGATGTTGTGGTTGTAGATCTTGGCCACCAGGGAAGTAGCTGGCAGGTTGACAGACTTGGAGTCTGAGAGATGCTTTGTTCCATCACAGTTCTGATTCAGCTTGATAATTT